CTCCAAGGTTATCGCCTCTTCCTTTACATACAATTTAAGGTACTTTATACTTAAAAACGGAAAGCCAAACTTCACAAGAAAACTATGCTTGCAGTATTGCTTTCCTCTCTGCCTAGAAATATCTATACTTGTAAGCCTTCTAAGGCAATTAGCATTTTGACATGGGAGGTCTTCATTTCATATGTCAGCCAGTTTCTGTGTTCTCTGGCTTCACTGCCGTGTGATCCTCAGCCATGCTTTTTATCTCCAGGATTTCCACTTCCTTCATGTATCAAACTGTTCTTGATTGCATATAACAGAGCTAGTAAATCTATTCCTTGCCACATGTCACAGTGTCACATGTCCTGTGTCCTCTGGCTGCCACTCACTTACTTTGATTACTCATGAAAAACACTGCCGAATGTTGATGTCCCTGCTGTCCATGTGACTTCCATATTATCACCTCTTCTAGGAAGGGGATGAAATTCAGGCCCACTGAGCAATGGTACAGAGCCAGCAGAGAAATGAGGTCATGTCTTACACATATTGATGATACAAACACTTCTGACATTGGCTACAATAGAAACATCTCTCGTGTAATGTTCTTTTAGATAATTTGTTAGCTGGGAACACGTATCAGTATTCATTATTGCTTTCCATATCCTGCACTCACTGAGCACTCAGCATGAGAAAGATTAAATAGCTCTGCTAAATATACTGTCTCGATGCTAATGACCTGTTCAGCTACTTTTCAATCACATCTCAAGCTATTCAATGCTTTTTCTACAACTTCTTCCATGCTTTCTTCATCAAATTTCTCTGCAAATGTGCAAAAACCATGCTAAGTCCAAACCTACAGCATGTGCGCTCAAAATATATGCGGATGTTTTCTTCAGCGAGTGATGCATCATATGAAGACAGAACAATGAAAAAGGAATGAAAATGAAATAAGAGGTTGATCTTATTTGCTCAAAAATATCCATAAATTATTATTTTTCACCCAGATTCTACAGTCTTCATCACACACAACTCCAACTGAAGTTACTGGGAAGTTTCTCAATTTTGATCTTTAGAATGTGGACCACAGCTAGTAAGTGCTAAGTACACACAGTTCACTGTATTTGTAAAGTATTATCTACAAACCTAAGCAATGATAAACATTCCTGGGTCTGAAATCTATGAATTAAATAATCACCTTCAATATCGCATCCTATAGCATGAATGCCTATGCATATCTGAAGCTGAACAAACTGCTGCTTTATGATGTTCACAGAAATGGATGGCAGAAGGTTAAATTTATAGCTAAGAGAACAGCCTTATGTATGCTGGAGCATTTGTATGCTAGATTTTGTTGTTAATATTTTTGCAAAAAAGCTGAAGAAGTTGAAAACCCAGGGGTTGGAGAATACAAACAGTGGTAAAAAAAGCTATCATCTGGAACCTTTTATGTAACCAATCCCCAAGAAAGCAAAGTCATTCCACGCAGTATATATTATGATACAGTGATACAAGAAACAAAATCTTAAATTATAGTCTTTCATTCTGGAAGCTACAGAATAAATTCAGGTAAACTTCTTGGTGATGAAGTACAATGTATCTGAAGAACTGAGAATTATTTCTTTCTTAAAAATTGTAATAAAAACATGATTGGAAAGATCTTTTCATAAAAGGTTGCCATAATCTGTTGTCTAAAATTAAATTCCAAATAGTGAAACAATCTCTAATCATAAAGACTATAAGCATATTTAAACACACTCAGAAGAAGGTCAGATATCTTATTTTTCCTACATATGTTTTATTTGTTTGTTTTAACATTAGCATATATAAAATACTTCTACAGATAAAGCTTATGCCGTAAATAGACACAGAAAGCGGACACAGGTGCCAAGTCAATCTCCTGGAAAACAAAGTACGTAGGAAATATTTGTGGCGTTATTAGTCATATAGGTTTTTCTGGGTAAAAGCAGACATGTTTAGTCATCTAATAAGTATTGTTTTGTAGGGCTTCGTTATCATTTTTCTTAAATGTCTTGAATTCTTGATATAAAACAGGCTCAAAAAATTACTAATTTTGAATATTTAAACCCTTGTTTTCTTCCAAAATGTTTATTTTCTGTGAGAATTCTTACAGACTTTTTATTAAAAGGAGACTTTTGTCCTAATAATAAAAAGTTATAAGCAACTCTGCAAGTTACTTATATAGGAGAAAGTCCTTGTTACATCTATAATACCCTTGCTTATAGAGGCCCCTGTGTATAAGAGCTCTCCCAGATGCACAACAGCTTGTCAGCCTTTCTGCAGCCACTACTGCCAATTTGATTCACAGTATCCCTCCTGCATGGGTTATCTTAAAATAGCACAGTATAAATGAAATCTTGCAATTATCACAAACACCAAGGTGTTTGGTATTGTAAGATGGCCTACAGGAGAGCTGCTAATTTGGCCTGGAGAACTTGTGTACCTCATTGGTATTTTCTGAGGGCAACTGGCCACAGCGTCTGTACATACTGTTGCAGCAACACACAGCTCATGTGACTTACTAAATCTATATGAAAAATGTAGGGGTAGCTGGTCCTGCTGCTCTCCTTCTTAAACTAAATGATAAACAGCACAGGAAAAATAGAGGTTGAAGGGAGAAGCTGAAGGGAAAGAGAGGCATCAATATAAAGCCTTGTCGGCAGACAGCCGTACTACCTTCACCTTGCCAAATTGCCACAGCCAGCCATAAGGGCCTTCCCTCTCTTCTCGTCCTCCCATTCCTGCAGTGAGTCGCTCCTGCAGATGTTAACTTGGTTATTCTGTTAGTTGATGAAAGACACTGTATATTCTCTTACTCTATTTTCTCTTTACCATTACATAGTGTACAAAATGACTTCTTATTGCTTTTCCAGATTTGTAAACATTATTCTCACACCTTTTAAAGTAGTCGCTTATTACTGTAATTATGAACATGTTGTGCTTGCACCATCCTGAAAAGTGGTATGTGTTACAGAGAAAAAAACTAGCTGTTGTTTTGTAGTGACAGAAAAATAAAATTCTTCATTTAAACTTGGTTTGGTTTAGTGGGGTGTTAATGCACTTAAGCTGACATTATTAACAGTATATCTTTACTTAAAAGGCTACAGGAAGGAAGATCATGTCAGGTTGCAGAAACATTGTATTTGTGCAGAAGCTGATTATTTAAGCCAGAAATTAATGAAATGTGAAACTAATGATGCTATATATTCTCTTCGGCCTCTACAAATGACTGAATATTTCAGAGAAATCAAAGTATTAGTCACACTGAATATACAGAAAAATACACTACTTTTCCAGTCACAACAGATCCTATGGTAAAAAAGAGTTGAAATCTCCCATGTACAGCAAAGAAAACATGAGCAGGAGATAGCCAGCATTTGCCTCAGGCATCCTTCCTATAGATTTCTGTATCCATGTGCAGGCTGAGGGTCATAACCTAGACTTGAGTACTGGGAAGAGTAGAGGTTAGAAACTCATCGATCACGTACTATCTGATAGTACTTTTCTTTCTAGATTTGCTTTGCAGTTGAGTTGCACCTTTGAAGAGATCCATGTGCTTTGACATCACAGCAACTGAAAACTAGAGACAGTTAAAATATTCTGCATCTCCTTGAGTTGCTTGTAGTCTAACTGTTCCATAGCCTATAGGAACCTTGCACTAACAGATGAAGAGTCTAAATGAGCTAATAACGTCTAGGCCTTTATTAAACAAAGCCAAGTGAGAAAGAAAAAAATCTGACTTTCTGTCACCTACATGCTTCTTTCCAATTCTAATACCTGCTTTAATGCTTTTCTACCTGTTCTCTCTACTGAGATTTCTATTCTTTGTTTAGTTTTCCTTTTGCACATTTTATTATCTGATGTACTAGATGCTCTCCTAAGTGATGCATTCCAACCACAGTCACTGAATGTGACAGCTGTGCTGCATCTAATCATGAAATGCTGTGCTTAGACACTTGACAGTGTTTGAAAATTTTACTCTTGCTCTAAAAACAATGTGAGGAGTTTAGTGTAGGTGAATGTAACTAGACTGATAATTAGGAATACTATTTTTTTGTATTATGAAACAATTTTGTTTGGGTTTTTTTTTGCAATTTGACTATTATAAGTTTCTCCATGGGGTTTCAGACAAAATATAAAGCTCATTTTTTAACGACTGTAAACTCTGTAAAAGTCTGTTTTTCTGAAGGATAAGATAAATCCTAGTTCAAGGAACTGTACTTTAAGGAGAAAGGTGGCACTGAATTGAGGCTTACTGTGAAGCATCTTCAAGCATCCTGGAAAACTGAATTTGATTTTGCAGAGTTCTGTTACTTTTAAGATTATCTGAGAGGATTATTTGTATTTCTAGCAAAGCTCTAGGAAGCATATAATACATGTAGAGTGGAGTTAACTTGAGATCCCGTTAATCGTGTACTTAGCAGCTGTGTTTTTAGGACAGCACATACTTGTGTGATTTTTGGCCTATCATTTGTGATTTGTTTGAGGATTCCCGAGAATAAAAAAGCTATATATAAATTTAAGATAATAGTATCAGCTGAAGCTCTGTCAGATTCAATAGGCAGAATTAGATAAACTGAGCTGCTGTGTACCACTTCGTGGTTTTAATCTTGGAAAATAATAGATTGCAAAAAATAAAAAGAACCTGTCTCCAATTTTCTGGTTGCCCTGTCCTAGGTGCTCATTCAGCAACATTTTTTCAAGATATCTTGTTTAGATGAGAAAAGAAATAAAATTAAATTAAATTTACACATTTTACAGAATATACTGCTTTCTAGGTTGAAGAAAATGAACTCAAATTGCTTTCTGGATACACAGTTACCACTAACAATACTGGAATTCTGGTATTTAACAAACCAAGAACAACTCCAGAACTACATCTGTGTAATGAAATCTTCAAATGTTATACCTATACTTGCACAAACTATATCAGTGAGAATTATATCAGCAATTAAAGCTCATAATTATCTCACCAAGTAAAGAATGGAGGTGGGTGTACTTACTATGTCAGCACAATAGCCACAGCATCATTTAGGACACTCTCTCCAAACAAGAGTGTGTACAAATCTGTATCCACATGCAGCTCATGGAAAATAGCAAGGACTGTCACTGTATGGAGACAAAGCAATGTGAGTTTGTTATTTTCATATTCCTCTGGCAGTTCAATAAGTAAAGCAGTGTTAGAATATGGGTTTTGAGAGGTCTTGTCCTATATATTACCTAAGTGGATAACAAAAAGTTAAAAGGGATCAACTGCAGTATATAAGATCCTTAAATCTAGCAAGTCTCTGAGTTTTGGTGCTTCAGTTGAGTTAGGAAGAAACTTTCCCTCTCATACAGAGAATCATGCATAAATGAAAAATGTCACAGCATATTTTACTGTGCATAAAGGACTGTGATGTTGTGACCAAGGAGAAATAAGGGTGCTGAAAAGACTTGGGTTTTGCTATGGACTTTGTGTGTGATGAGAGTAGCAGTTTACCTATTTCAAGAAGGATATAATAATGCTTATCCATCTGTTATGCATGTTCACTGAGGAACATGCATAATAACCTTATACTCTGCACGATCAAGTCACCCCCTGTCATGTCAAGTGTAGCATATCTGTATTCATGAAGGTCTCTCATCCAGATCAGGATATCTGATACTTGTAACCCATTTTAAGGTTCCTTCAGCATATCATTAACTTAAGTCTCTTCCTTCTCCCTGAGTTATATGCTGTATTGGATTTTTAGCTTGCCAGTGTAATGGAAAAAAATAGAGTATGTTGAATTTAAATTGAAGTTGGCAAATCCTTTAGACACACATCCTCAAGGACACTTGGCTCATATTCAGGAGGTTAAGCCCTATAGACATTAAAGGACACTTCAGTTGTTTTATGCCTCAGTTTCCTTACCAGTAAGCAGGGGATCACAATCCTTCCCAAGGTCTACCTAGCACTTAATGATCTCCAAATTAAGAAGGCTACCTATGATCTGTGTTGATATTATTATTCTCTCTTTATATGGACAAAGCAGAGCTTTCTCTTTTCAAACAGAATTTAATGTAAAGGCCCACAATTATTTGTATAGTTAAAAATTACACAGTAACTCACTGCTTCACTGGTGCTCATTCTAGTACATAATTGTGCAATTGACTCAATCCTCATAGCCCAGGAATCCCAAAGATTAGTAGTGCCTCTGGGATGCCATGTTAACATCTGACGTTTCAGAAATGAAAATTATATACTTTTACATTGAGATGACTGCTGATAATTCACACAAAAACATGAACAGGTGATCATGCTTTGTCTTAATAACATTTCTTGGAACTTCAAAATAATTACTGATAAGATTTTCTAAATGGCACTTAAATATCTGTGTAATCTTAAAATCAGTTTACAAATCCAAAATAGATTCTCAGTTCTCCTGTGAGATTTTATGTCAAAGTAATCTCTGTTGATGTGTTATCATTGAAGAATTTTGGAAGTGTTATTCTACAGAAGGCAATTTAGGAGATCTGTGTAGCGGAACATTTGCTGATATAGCTATATTTAAATTAGCTACTTATATTTAACCATCCTGGTAACCTCACCCATCTACTCCCAGTGCAGTTATAGTTTAAACTAGGAAAAGAGTTCTTTCCCCAGAACAGCTCAAAGGTGGAAGAAGAAGTTTTATTGGCAACAGATATTTTCTTGGTTCACCAACATCCATATTCAAGTTTTTGCTCGATTACCAATGCTGCCTTAATATGCTAAATGTGGACCCAATTTAGTCTCCCATTCTTTGATGTTATTGGCATAACAGCAGACTTGTTTTCTAAAACTATTTGCCACTTCCAGCTTTTGCTTATTAGCTAATTAGTTTGGGCTCACATTAATAGTCCCTCCGATAATGACAGAAGGAAAAGAAAATAGTAATCAAAGTCCAACGCTGGTATGCAAGTGTAGCAGGCCAAGCCAATTAGACGGATGCCTACACATTCCTTCCTCTTGCCTCCTAAGAAAACAGCTTTCTCTTCTTGCTTTCTCTCCTGACTCTACCCAAAAAATCTGACTTAAAATCTTTTCAAATGAAAGCAAAATAATAAAGCAAGCACAGTAATGCATCAATTGGCTCTTCTGGGAGAGACTCCCCAGTTCACCCAGTTCTCAGAAAGTATCTTCCCTTTCAAATGTTTCTCCCATTCCCAAAGGAGGTTATTGGGTCTTCTTTACAGCATTGCCTGTCCCTGATTGAAGAATTCAGGTCTCTGCTCTGTCCATATGTTTGTCTGGCCATATGTTGTCACAGCAAGCTTCAGCCATACCACTGCTAACAGATATTTACCTGGTTTGTTTTTAAAGAACTGAAGTGATGCTGGTTCCACAAATCCCAAGGGAGACTAACCTGCTCTTTCCTATTCATATAATTTATAAATGCAGTTATTCCTGAATGTCTAACCTAAATCTTCCCTTCTGCTCTTCAAGTCTGTAATTTCCACTCCTATCCTAATGAGACATGAATAATTTGTCACGTTTATTCCTTTTTTCATTCCAGCAACATTTTGCCTATTCAGAGACTCATTTCAGACATCTCGTCCCTAAACTGACTCACTTCTTTCAATCTCCTCCTTTCAGTAATGTTTTCTAGCCCTCTAATCACTTCTAATCAGTCCATATCTTTTTTGAAATACAGTGCCTAAAATCAGATCCAAGTGCTGCAGTTCACACTAGCTGTCAAGAAATAGAGCGAAAAGATGCTGTAGAACACGTTAATAAGTCCTGTTTTCCTTTTTTTGCTATGTATTAGTACTGATGACTCATTTTCATGTTGTAAACTTGAAAACATTTTCAGTGGTGAATGCTCACTTCTTATCTTCTATCTATGAAGTTGATTATTTCAAAGTGTAGCATTTATCCTTATTGATTTTAAATCACTGCAAGAATCATACCGACTTCTAATTGTGTTCTTCAAAGTGTTTTCAATCTCCTCGCAGCATAGTATTATACATTAAACAAGCATCCTCTATTGTATTAGCCAACTCATTAATGAAAACATTAAATAGTATCTGTATAAGAACAGAGACCTGCATAATATTTAGCACATCCAGCCCATTTAAGAGTTCAATAAAACATTTTCACCTCATTTTGCCAACCACCATGTGCTGGTTTGGCTGGGGTAGAGTTAATTTTCTTCACAGTAGCTAGTATGGGGCTATGTTTTGGATTTGTGCTGAAAACAGCTTTGATAACACAGGGATGTTTTCGTTATTGCTGAGCAGTGCTCACACAGAGCCGAGGCCTTTTCTGCTTCTCCCCCCACCCCACCAGCGAGCAGGCTGGGGGGGCACAAGGAGTTGGGAGGGGACACAGCCCGGACAGTGGACCCCGACTGACCCAAGGGGTGGTCCAGAGCATACAGCATATACAGCTGGGGGAAGAAGGACGAAGGGAGGGATGTTCAGAGTTACAGCATTTGTATTCCCAAGTAACTGTTAGGGGTGATGGAGCCCTGCTTTCCTGGAGATGGCTGAACACCTGCCTGCCCATGGGAAGCGGTGAATGAATTCCTTGTTTCGGTTTCCTTGTGTGCGCAGCTTTTGCTTTACCTATTAAACTGTCTTTATCTCATCCCATGAGTTTTCTTGCTTTTACCCTTCTGATTTTCTCCCCCATCCCACTGTGAAGGAGTTGAGTGAGTGGCTGTGTTGTGCTTAGTTGCTGGCTGGGGGTAAACCACGACACACCATCTAGTAATTTCCTCAAGATCACATTTGCCTTCATTAATTATGAGAATCTATGGATATAGTTCAGAAGGGGCCTATTAAAAGGGATGTGATACTGTTCTATGGAAGAAAGTTAATTTAAATTACTCTCTGGATAGAATAATACTCTAGGAATAATCATTGTCCAAAGTAGTCACATCATGTTTTGTCTGATGGATGACTTTAAAACTTAAGGAAATTAATTTAAAAATTCAGTATTTGCTATCATATACCATAGTAACATGTCTAATATTTGAGAACTTTCATATCTAAGTAAAGATTATAGATACTATAGTGCAGTAAGTATGGCCTCTCTGGCTTTCTGAAGGCGCTTTTGAGGAACAGTAAGTAGGGCTTGGTTTTTGTGTGGTAACTACTCAAAGGCTTGTATAATTCATTAGATACAGTATGTGTTATGAAAATACCAAACTACTTTTCATTAAAGTACACAGCATCTCTTCATCTCTTATTTCAAACTAAGCATACGAGGACACAGACAGAGATAGGTAAAGAACTAGAAGGACAGGTAATTGGGGGACAACAAACAAACATCTTTTGTGGTAGTAGAAAACTGACACAAATAGAAATAACATGTATCACAGCTCCTGACTCAGAAAAGGTTGTGACCTTCGTTAAAAAATACAGTAATGGGAAGCATGAAATAGTGAAACATCTAAGATTTTTGCAGTAATTGTGCCAACAGAAATCTGATTCACTTCTTTGTTGACTTCATGGACTGAGGTAACATCTTTTAAATGCTAAGCTTAGCATGATTTTGGTTGTACCCAAGTCAGAACAAGTGTCTGTGGAGCTGTTTTGTGAAGGGTATCTTTTGACATACATAGGAACAAATTCGCTTGTTATTAATTCCCATAAAAAGCATGTATAACTGAAATATAGCAAACTACAACAATTCTTAAGCTAGCTGTATCCAATACTTCTTTGCTGTTATGTTTGGAAAGAATAAGGAAGGTCAGAAAATAAATGAGACCATCATATAAAGTACTGGTATTATTGTACCTCAGTCTTCTGACTAGAACTATCAATATCTTTCACAGCTCATGGGCCCAATTCTTTTAGGAGGGCAGTATCAAATGGGAAGAAAATGAGATGAGAGAAATCTCACTTATATTTCCTATAAATTTTTCTCTAAAAATAACAATTCCAATTTTAATTACTGTCTCCTTTCCCTACTAAGCAGTCACGCCACTCACAGATTAGTTCAGTGGTGAATAAGAAGAAAGCCTAAAAATATTTTAATTAAAAAAAATTTATAAACATTCTTATATAACCAGTGTATAAAATGTATTAGCTTGCTGAATTTATAAATTATGCTTCTTAATGCAAAATCCTTTGATTTTATGAGAAACAGAAACTGCTCTTTCTCATAAATATCCAATTTTATCAATAACAAAAGCAGTGCAACTCACATCTCCAGTTCCGCTGTAACCATAGTAACTTCAAATAGACAAGAGCCTTGTAACTATTAATATGACCAAAGGTAAGGGAGTTCATATAGCTCAGGAATAGCTGTGCTTCAGCAAACCTTGTGAAGGTAAATCTGTTTTCTATGCTTGAAATGTCAAAAGTTAAAAAAAAAAGAAGTGCTAAAGATACATGAAATGTCTTTGGATTGGAAGGTCATTGCACAGAATGTGTTAATAACAACAGCTAAGATAAACTGCCAAAGTTGTACTTTTCAGTTATTTTTTGATGGCGAAGGCAGAGGTCAAATCTTTTCATTCATGTGCCAGTTTTGTTCTGTCATTCACCTTATTCCATTACAACCACTGGTACCCTGAAGCAGCCTATTGCTGGGGCTTATTGCTGTGTCTGCCTTTCAACCACAGAGGCCAGTTGTTGTCAGAATAACCTTATCCACACTCACATGTGAGGCAGTTTCATTTTGAAGGTCTCTGATGCTCAGAGACCAAGAGCTGGGGGCTCCACTCGCCACACCAGCAACTTTTCCACAGTCTCTTTGCTGCTCTTGATGAGTGATGCATGTACCAGAACATAGGGAGGAACTGCTCTATCCCCTTTGAAAGGATCACACCAAAAAAATTCCAGAGTCAGGTAATATTAGAAATCAAAAAACAATACTAACACAAGGGAAACCCTTTCAACATTTACAGAGATGAAATAACAAGAAAAAAATATAAACACTGGTCTGTAATTTTAAATCAAAGACTAATGAAGGGAGAATTTGGGAATTTTAAAATTCTATAGCTTAGAAATTAAACCTCTCACCTGAAGTCTTGAAATGAGAAGCTTTTTCTGCTGAAATGATAAATTATTGGTAGGAGATATTTCCTGTAAAATGAATGATTCACTTGAAAGTAACCTTGCTTCGTCCCTGAAGTTTCTACCTTTTCTTTCTAGAGACCTGAGAGTTTTTTGAAGCATCCTTATGTATCACAGATGCTTAGGGATCACAGTCTATAATGCAACAGTCCCAAGCATATCCAGTCATAAATTCATTTCTTAATCTTAGTTCAAGTGCTAGTTTTCTATATAAGTGAACCTATAGCATATAAAAGCAGTTTTTCTGAACTAATTTTATGTGAAAATCTCTGTGTTAAAGATCTTCAAATACCCTTCAAAAATAAAAGCTACAGAGTGCTATGACATTATTTCCTTCTTCCTAACAATATCAGCAACTTTTAGCTGGCATACATTTGTTTACTGCCCTGGTAAAAGTCTTCATTTAACATGTAAACATCTACCAGTCATCTTTACGACTACAAATAAGGAACTCAATCAAAACAACTTCTGTCAAGTCAACAGATCAGTTTTTAACATCTTTTGAGACTTAATTGCTTTCCACAGCCAAGGGAAATTAAATCTCTTTTTTAAATGAGCTTATAATCCTACACAGTGAAGAATTAAATGAAAAATCAGGTAGCAAATCTGACAGGAATTTATTATTTAATCTTAGGACAGTAATTTATTATTCTATCCTTTTCTATAACACTAACAACATTTTACCAGAGATTTCTTTTTTTTAAAAAGCTAGATATTACATATAAAATCATTAGACTGATTATTTTATGCTATAGTATGTATCAGTCCTCCAGGGGAACATGTTTTAACTGATTTTGGAATTCCAATGAGCTCTTTACATGGCTTGAGATTATAATTCACTAGCAAATCCTACAACACAATGAAATATTTTCATCAATGTCTACCATTTAATTAAGCAAAAATTTCATTCAAAATTATCTAAGTCTTTGAGGGACTGAATTTTACAGATAAGATTAGTAAAAACATGAAACAGCTTAGAATACTGTGAATAGATGGGAGAGGGAACAAGACAACATTAAAAAATCTCTTGGAGATGCACAGACACTCTATATAAGCAGAAGAGTAACTACAAACAGTATTAATCAATGATAGTTTCTGACACTGAAAGCAGTTTTCTTAACTGCAGTGTTAGCTTTTTAAGCCTATTTAAAAATCTGGGAAAAGTAATCCTTGTCACTTCTTATTCCTTCCAGGGCAGGAGGAGCTTCTCTTTTTTTTCTCATGATTGTTCCAGATTAATCAGTGGTGATTTAATACTATTATAATCAAAATCAGTGCATTTGTCTTACATATTTCCCCTCATAAGTGAACACGTTCATTTGTGAAACTAAATAGTGTTGGACTGGAAAATGGGAAAAGAAACTAAGCCAACTGCAATATTCTTATTCATGGCACAATCAAGAAATGTACTTGGAAGCTGTAAGCAACCTTTTGTTCCATAAGCAATTTATTTTCATAGGTTTCCTCTCAGTTTCTGTTTTTCTCTCTTGCTCTGAGGATAGGCTCCAATCATGTCCTGAATCTTATTAAAGTAGTTGGGTGATTTTATAAGTGGTAGCATATTGGATGCTTGGATTAATTCAAGAACAACAATTTGATGCAGCTTTTACAGCAATCTTGCAACAACCAGTTTTGTAGAAATAAATGGTTAAAATATTTTTAAACCATCAGAATGACAAATCACAAGCTCTAAGTTGTTTGTTAAATATTGAGGGTTCGTTTAAAAAATGGAACAAATTTGTAGAACAGTGTTGCTTTTTGTCATTTCTTTTAATAGCCAGGAATTTGAAAGATTTATTCATAAGTTTCTCAGAGAAGCTTCTCAAGGCTAGTTAACACTAATGCAGCACGTCATGTGCATCACAAAATGCTTTCTGTTCTACTTCCTGTAACAGCTCAACTGAAAATTTTGCAAAAATCCAAGGTACCCTGGCAGACTTTGTACTTTGTCTCTTTGTAGATAACATATAAAAACATCCTTTTTTCACCTCCTCCTTCACTATTGTCCCACAGATGCAAAAAGCAATACTTTCCTTTTAATATCAGAGTACTCTTATTAACATTTTCAATGTAACAAACCCCAGGCAAATCTATGAAACCTAGGCTAACTTTGAGGTTAGCCCTGTTTCAATTAGGAGGTTGGACTAGAAGACCTCCAGATGTCCCTTCAAATCAAAATGATTCTGTAGTTCTGTGATTCCAAAATTCACTGAGTCTGTTTCCCACACTTGGCAATTTACTGTAACTTTAGGCTTTAAATCTCACATCTGTGAATTCAAGTCAACCTGTTGGTATCTATTTTTTTAGTGTTGTATTTATCATGAAACACTGCATTCAAATTGTAAACCAATACCTTAAATCCAATATTTATATGGCCAAATCCGAAAGCTACGTTCCCCATATAATTTATAAAATTCATGAGCTAAACATAGGTAAACCAGTTACTAAAACAAACACAAGGGATCTCTGGAGCCAATGTGACTTATGATTATCAGAATATCAGACCAGACATTTAACAGCTATGGGAATAAAAAATCAAGAACGGAGACTTTGAACATTTCTATGGCACATGCAGTTGTTATGTTCTTATTTACTCTTCTGACTTTTGAGAAAGTAATTTATTTTAAACGGTTACCTGGATCTGTGGCAGACATCAGCGATCCAAAAAATAAACAGTCGGTGAAGTGGAATTCCCATCCTTTCAACTGGCCAATGTGTACCATGGCCTTCACAAAACCATACATTATCAACCTGTCAGGGGAAAGATAAGACAGGTATTCAGACAGAGTAAGTAACACTCATGCTTAATTTACAGTACTAAGCAGGTTTTTATTCTCTTCAGCTTCTTTTAAACAAACATATCGTGTGAATACTGAACATAAACTGCTATCATATAAAAATTCTAATTCCTATTCAACTGTTCAAGTATTGTATTGAAATGTCACAGACAATTCCAAAGCAAAGACTTTTCTGAATAATTGTCATCTGCTGGTAGCAGAGGACAATGCTTTTAGCTGTTTATTTTTCAAAAGGAAAGATAATGCAAGCTTAAGAAGACATTATTAAGACTAACTTGTCTAATGTTGTAGAACATTTAAACAAAGGCAGTTCTACTATCAGGTCTGTGGCTTGCTCTAATATTTCTAAATTAATTGTTTTATTCTGTCAGCTTTTAAATGTTAGCTGTATTCAAAGTTCCAGATAAGGTCTCCAAGTGAGACAGATATTTAACAACTCAGAATGACAGTGAGGCAATAAAGTCACACTTTAAAATGCACTGCTAAATCCTCGCTAGTTTCAACAGGAAATGTTATTGGTTTATATAACTAGGTAATGCCATCTGAGATGTGTATTCTAACAAGAATCTTGAAATACCTTGAAAAAAGGAATTCACTTGTTAGAACTTCTAGTTGATTTTTAAATTTTTGTACATTTCCAATCTATTTAATAAAAAACTCCATTGCATTCAATACCTTTTCCATAATCACAACACATAAATTAATAACTGTGCTCTTCTAACTAGACTTTAAAAAAATCATTTAAACAGGGCTACATGCATTCACATACCTAGCCACGTTTTGCCCTCAGCTATACTCCTAAAATGTTTCTGAAGTCACATAAGTACAGAAGATCTGAGTGACAGATAAAAGGCTACTAAACAAACAGCCTGAGAGTTAATTACAAATTGTTTTCAGATACTTTACCACGCTGCAGATTTTCTGAAGTATAGTAACCTTATTACATTAAGAGGGAAGCAGTTAGGTCACCGCAGAATTCCCCAATGGTCCTAAGTATTTGTGTCTGTCTTTACATAAGCTGCCTAGCAAACAGTCAGCCACCAGTTGTTCTAAAACAATTTATGCAGCTGTGGGTCTCCTTGATTGATGAGCTCACTTTCTCTCCATTCCCAAAAAATAATGATTCAAGACCCTGCAGTGAAGTTAGTCTTTTTATCCTGAGCACAAATATGTCTGCTTTAAGGAATGAGTTCTTAAAAAACTGACTGTGGTGCTGCTATCCTGATTTGCAATTGTCTCAAAAGTCAACAGTAATGGAAGTGAACATACGCATGCCTTTTAGAAATAATTGCCCAACCTGCTTGCCGTTTTGACCAGAGATACTCTTCTGACTCAGTTAAAAATATTTTAAAATAATAAATAAAATTAAGTTTTGACTATCTGGCAAATTTAGTCATGATAATTCTTTAAATACCCAGTGTAGACATCATCCTGGTCTTTAGCTTTGTTTCTTATACATTACTAAATATTTTCAATATGTCTCTGCTTACTGTCTGTACAAAGTTGCAGATGAACTGGACAAAATTTGATTCAGGAGTCTTTCATGGACACAGGAGGTCTAAATTTGCCATAAATTTTAGTACAGTTGAAGACTGACAGAACTTGGTCTTAATTCACATATCATTCAATTTTTGCCTGCACTGAAAAGGGAAATAAAACTGAAGATCAGACTAAACAATGGTGCTGATTTAACCACTGAGGTCTTAACCCTCATCCAACAGAGAAAAGAGAACCACAAACTCAGAATATTATATTTTCTTTTTTTTTTTTTAAATTCATGAACTACTTAATACATTTTGGTAATGCTAAAATGGCAAAGGTCCAATTTTTCAAACATAAACCCAACTAAGTGCAGACATACATTTGGATTATGTGCAAAACTGCTGGCTTAACTAAACCACAAGAATCTGTACTTGTACCTCCTCCATCTAACACATATGAAAACATGCAGAGAAATAATTTCCTATTGCAAATTAACTTTTAAAATGCACTGGTTTATCTTTTCTTTAAAAGCTGTATATTTTTAATGAAGGTAATACATTGAAATGATCATTAATCATCATTTATCAGTGATTTCTTACTAGACACAGCCATACAAAATGCAAACCTCCCTTCACTTTAAATAACTTTAAATAACTTTAAAGTATCTTTAAATAACTTTAAAACAGAAAATTTTATTTCATTTTCAATTATAATTTGCTAGTAATCTCAGAATTTGATTTCTCATTATCTTCTCCAAACTACACAAAAAGTCCATCTAGAGGCTATTTTGAAAACTAGAAATCAAAGGGCAGTTCTGAACAGGAGTAAGTTCTCTGATGTTTGTAAAATTAACAGAACTATAGCAGTTTATACCAGCCAAGAGTTTGCTCTCAGGAAAATAATTTAATATATTCATTGTAATACAGGATATACTTTCACATCCACTAAAATAATTGGAATTTACCTTTACTGTATTTCTCTAGATATATCACAAGCTATGTTATGTGTTTAGTATTTTTTAAATTTACATTGTAAATAAAATTGCTTTTGTTATCCTGTATATGACATCAGATCCTGTTCTCAGTTTTACAGATCAGAACTAAGAGAAATTCCAATTCTAAATCACAGGAGTTAATCTGCATTTTAGACTGGTAAAACTGAGATCAGACTCCAACCCTGTGTATTCCAGCTTGTAACTTTTTATTATTAAAAAATTTCACTCTGACTTTATCATTGTCTTCAGTGACAGAGATTATTCAGGTCACACACTCTAATATATAGTCAAATTTAAAAAATAAAGCTATTTGTCTATGAGAAATGTTAATAACTCTTTTTAGAGTACTAGTTGATGATGTAGTGTGACTTTTCCACTACATATTGAAAAGCTGGATCTCAGCTGGATACCTGAGCTCTCGATATTAAACATCATCCAGTACTACACAACATAACTGTTCTTAATGGAAATCCAGTGAGGAAAGCATACCCCAATGACAGCAGGAGATTAATCCCAAGGAAATACCCTGCACTGATGCCTCTATTGCTATTACAAACTAGAATTGAAAAAAATAGTCTTATTGATTTTTAGGGCTGGTGTAATTTCATTTGATACATTTAGGTTATTTTTAGCAAGTTTACATCCACCAAGTTTCAGCAAATCTGATTGCTTTATTCGTCTTCAACAATCCACTTAATATATGTTAAAAAAAAATATTAAAATATCTGTTAAAAAGTTGTAAATAAGTCAAAGTGTCAGTGAGACTGAATTTCCTCCAGAATGTTCCTGTCCCACTAGAATGGAACCCAGTGCTCACTGTTGACATAGAGTAGGCTATTGACTCAAATCAAGTTAACAATATTAGGAGCTCTTAATCTGTTTAGTAGGATGATAGTTCCATCTTTCGGATCCCTGTCTGTGAAATCATCTTTTTTACTTTGCTTTTTTACTAATCTAGAATGCTAAATTTTATTTTTTTATTCTTTTAGAATATCAGAACTGAGATCTTCAAGGCTGCATAAAGAATATAGAAGCTAAGTTGCAAATCAATGTAAACCTAATTTCCAATGTGACTTTGAAAATCTTAACTTTAAAATACACCTGCAAAGTAATTTTTGTATATTTCATATACTTTTTAAAATCTTGGTTTTGATCTATATTTTAAGGTTTTTTGGAAAGTGGTTGCCCCTTATGGGACCTTTATCTCTGAGTTCTATGTGATACTTCTCTGATAACAAATGTTACAAAGTAACTGCTATTTTCTGTATATGTCTGGATTTTGCATTTATACCATGAACTGTGCACCATTTAGAATATTGTATTAGCCACTTGAGATAGTGTTCTTTTATTTTCCCAAAATGAATCAGCAAGTAGTATTCTATGGAACAAAAAGAATGAGGCACAGATCTATGAAAGGGTTTAGATAGGAGACTTCTACTTACGTTGGAAATCTGAATCCTCAGAGCTGCTGCCTTAGAGTCTTACTACACTTAATTTTCATCCATAAAGCCTCTTAACTCCCAACAGGTCTTTTTTGGAGGGCTTGTCCAGCACTATATAATGCACGTACTGCTTGTCTAAAGATTCTTTGGGATTCACAAACTAGTGAATGACCTGTCTTGCCAGTGAGGTCTGTTAGAGAGATGCTGAGACCTGGCCCTCACAAAATCCAAAGCTGAATGAAAAAGAGGTGGTTCCACTTTGCAGTCCCTTTTCATTCAACTCTAATAGAGCAAGACATGTGAGCCTCAGATTCAAACCCCTCCTTCACCTCGTTCACCTTCATTTTTCCTAGATACTATGAACATGCCAAAGAGAGACTCTAGGTTCCCAGTGCCTAGAAGCTGCTCCACCTTGCTTATCATTTGCCATTATTCATTAAACTAAAGAGCTGGAAAGTGCATGAATGTGAAAGTGTATGTGGTATCAGGTGATTTGGGTCCTCATCCTGGGTGATGGAAGCCTGAGCTTGAGCCTACACTTTGAAGTCTAATTCTTTTCCCCTCTGTCCCTCTAGCTTTGTATAGGTAACTTGAAGCTGTGGATCCTGCTAGGTGACAAAGCATCCTAAACCATGTCTTTTTTGGCATCTAGGAATATATGACTGTTCAGGGAGCTACATACAATCAATACAGAGCAGAGAGTTGATTTGGGGTTGCCCTGCCTCCTTATCAACTTCCTATTGTCATGAATAAATATGCAAATTCAGCAATTTATTTGTGCAATCAGAAACTAGATGATTAGAAACATTAGAAACAATATAGGAACATTTAGAAAGAAATGACAAGTAAATTGATCAGTAATAAACAGTCGCTGAAGACTTCTAAGTTGGACTTAGCAATGGTTCAGCACTGCAAATAATACTTGTGAATAACTGATTTGGTCATGGATTTGGAACATTAATACAATAGTACAACAGGAGAATGAAACTCAGATTAGCTTTGCGCAGGAGAGCTGACATTTTCTACACCCAAACA